ATTTTTCTAAAAATCTTTTGAAAGATAATTATTTAAGTTACTTTGAATTATGAATAAGTTGAATTAAATCTTCCGTTGCAATGGAATAAGTTAATTGCTTTATTTTATTATTATTTTTTTTTTAATTTTTTTTTGTTTCTGTTTTTACAAAAAGTTGTTTAAACATTTTTTTTTAACTCGACTAACTAATCAGAGCATAAAATGATTAAAAATTACTATATTGAATAGGTGACAGTATTTTTTTAAACATTTTTTTTTTTTTACAACTTCTCAGAAAAAATAAATGTTTATTCAATTTAAAAATATATATAACACTTTTTAGTAATTTAGATAAAATTTATTAATTCATCAAACAATCAGTAGAAGTAATTTGTAAATTTTAATAAAACGTTTCAAAAGACAAATTTTCAAGTAATTTATTTTAAACGCAATTAAAAACGTAATAAAAAGTATTTTTCGCTTCAAGTTTGAGTCTTATCTTAGTGCTTATATATTTTCATTATTAATTTTTTTAAATTTTCTTCCTAGATTAAGTTTAGCTAGCATTTCTTTTTTCAGCTCATTTCTAAAATGTTTAAAAATCATTTAAACATTTTTAAATGTTTAAATGTTAAAAATCATTTAAACCTAGTTTACATTTTTTTAAATCATTTTTTTAAATCATTTAAACTAGATTTTTAAATGTCAAGTTGTCAAAAAATGAAATCAATTACGTGGTCAGCAATAGCGCTCGATCGCACGCCATTCATGTCCAAGCCTCTTACATACATACATACATACATACATACATACATACATACATACATACATACATACATACATACATACATACATACATACATACATACATACATACATACATACATACATATATACATACATACATACATACATATATACATACATACATACATACATACATACATACATACATACATACATACATACATACATACATACATACATACATACATACATACATACATACATACATACATACATACATAGAGATTTAATAAAATATTACCAGAGACCTTTTCTAGTAAAATATATTATTCAAAAAAATTCATTGCTTTAACAGGGTTCCCACACCTCCTTAAAAACCTTAAATATCCTTAAAAAATAAAAGCCTCCATAAATGTCCATAAATAACCTTTAAAAAAGTTAAAATTTGACTGCTCTCCTTAATTTCTCCTTATTTTTTTTTATTCATCTAGAAAAGCTTTTTCAAGTGAATGGATTATACTTGTTAATAAAGATGATAATATATAGATTTTTGATAGTTTTCAAACCTATTTTTGTTATTATATATATGTTAAAATTTATATACATATATATATAAAGTAATAATAATTTCTCTGTTATATTCAAAATTTATTTAAAAAAATAAGATTATGTTTTTAATGTAATCGTTTTCTCCTTAATTATCCTTACTTTTTCTTTTAAAAAAATGTCGTTCGCGACCAAATCTCCTTAAATATTAGGAAAATATCTCCTTAAATCTTAAAATCCTTCATTTTAGCCTTAGTTTTAATAGTGGGAACCCTGTTTAAGTATAAAGAATGTATTTTTGTATATCAATAAAAATTAGGACTCAATTATTAGTTGAATAAACAAGTAGTTTTGATCAAAGAATGAAATGGTTAAAAATTACAATTTTAAAAAGACAACATTGTTTTTTTAAACAATTTTTTTTTTTTTCTGTATTTTTTTGAAAAAAATGTTTAAATAACTTAAAAATATTATATTTTTTTCTTTTCAATAATTTAGTTTCACTTTTCAATAATTTAAATAAAAATTTTTTATTTATTAAACAATCAATTGGAGTAATTTGTAAAAGCATTTGCGTAACTTTAATAAAACATTTCAAAAGTTAAGTTTTTAAGTAATTTATTTCAAACACAATTAAAAATGTAACAAAAAGTAATTTTAACTTAGAGTTTTTTGAGTTAAGTTTTAAAGCTTTTCATTTATTTTTAATTTACTTTACTTTTAATTTAATTTATATATATATATATACTGAAGTATTTATTTTGTAGAATTTAATTCTCTTCGGTCAAAATGTCCAATTACTTTGTAAATTGATCGGACAATTTGAGGTTTTAGCCAGACAATATCCGATGTCTGACCGTGAAATTGAGCCCTGTTGGTATTTTATTTGAGCAATAACATCAATATAAAAAATCTATTAGATTATAAATATAAGTCATAGTAATTGTTATAAACTATTTTATTATTATTAAATCTGATTTATTTGATTAATAATGATCAAACCAATAGTTTTTGTAATCAATAGTTGTTTAGTATTTTTTAGAAGTTGAATCTTTATGCATCGACATATATTGTTAATTAAATTTATATTATGCAATAGTTTTTCATAATAAAATTTGGTTTGCTATTTTTTATTTGTTATTTCTACTCATTCAAGTCCTGAACTTTTGAAGAAAAAAATACTTTTTTTTTATAGATTGATTACTTAAGAGCAATCTCTGTTTGCTATGAACATTAAAGCATTAGCGAAATAGTAATTAAGATACTAAACTGGTGTTTAATTAAGAAAATTGAATCACTGCAAATAATGCAGGCCTTGTTTTAAAGCATAAACTGGTGTGTCATTTACGTACGCAGTAAGCTATTTTGTTCAAGCCATTTTTTATCATTTTTTTAATATTTAAACAAGTCTAAAGATAATTTTTAAGCGGTAAGATAAAAAAAGTAAATAATGTTATAAAAACCACTTATGAAGTTTGAATGACATTACGTAAAAAAAAAAATTGCATAAAAATTACATTTTATGTATGCTATTTGCAAATTTTACATTATGCATGCTATTTACAATTAAGTATGCTATTTACAATTGTTAATAATAATGGTAATAAGTTAAGAAAAAACACAGAAAATTTTATTTTTATTATTCTAACTTTTCCATCAAAAATGTTCAGAAAAAGAAAGAAAAAAAAGATATTATACAACACTTAAAATAAGAAGTCATAAAAGACACATTAAAATTTTTTTTTATCATCTTGCAATAGCAAGAATATTTATTTAGACAATTTCTAATAACAAACAATAACAAAAATAAATACTAAATTTTTTGAAAAAAAAGTAAAAACCAAAAGAAAATACTATTAGCTAAAAAATATTATTAGCTAAAAAATAAATTTTTTTATATTGATGCCACTTAAGATATTTTAATGTTTTTTGTTTTTTTGTTTCGTTATAATGATTGAGTTTATCAAAAAAATGAAAAAACATTATTACAAACTTTGAATGACATCTGATAAAAAGTTTTTTTTTATCTTTTTATCATTTTTCTTTTATGGATGTAACTCTATTATTAATTTTTTTTTTTTTGCTTGAATTTACTCTTGAAGTAATATAACTCTTGAAATGTCTTCGTTTATATTTTTAAGTCTTATTTTGCAAAAATAATATTCAGAAAAATAATATTTTATAATAGTTACATCAGCTTTATATAAAACTAACAGATTGTACAATATCCAAAAAGTGGAAATTTCCTTATAATTTAAAAAGAATTTTGAATAAAAAAGATTTAAATTAAAACAAAATTAAAAAACATGTTATAACTTATAACGCTTCATTAAAAATATTCATAAAGCATACGTTTAACTTTTTTGCCTTTAGACAAGTAGTAGCACAACGGGGCTTTTACATTTAATAAATGATACTTGAATGCTTAAATCTATGTCACAAAAATAAGTGCTGGTAAAGTAATTAAATTGACTTTTTTTTCTTTGCTATAAGTTATATTTTTTGTTTATTAATTACAAACTAATGTGCTACACCATTTTTTTATTTAAAACAAGGCCTGCTAAAATGATACCATAACAATTTCCAACTTTAACTAGACACGTGGTGGTGGTGACTCTTTATTCATTTATACCTTTATTTCACAATACAATATTGTATTAAGATTATTAAAAACAATAATATAACACTTATTAGTATAACGAAATAATATCGATCACTTGATTTTTACCAATAAAGAAATGAATTATGTTATGAATTTATCATATTATATGCTGACCCTAACCCTAACACAAATTCATTATGTTGATAATGTTATAAATTCAAGATAGCACAAGAAAATTTTTTGTCGGAATTTGTAAGTCAAAAAGTCATTGTTATATTTTAAATCTGTGTTTTCCGGATAAATACGAACGATAATAAATCACTTTACTCGTGCATAAACAAAAAGAACACAATATTTTTTTTTTTTTTTTTTATGAGTCTTTATTGATGAAACACAGTGTTAAATGACAAAAATTTTTGTTAAGTGATTTTCTACTATTTAATAAATAGGGACAGATACAGTAAAAGGATGCAACTTATTGAACAAGAAGCCAAACAAGAATAAGTTTTGGTTTATTGTAATAGAGATAATAGCTCGTTTGAGCATTGACCGTGATTAAAGAAATGGCATAAAAAAGGAAGGCTAAAGCCTGCTGTTGCTGCTGATAATGATTATAAAAAACTGATAAAAAAATGTACTTACAATGTATAAATGTTTATGCAGCCCTGATCACAAACCTGGCCCCGCTTATATTTTATCAAACCCGGCCCCGGTTATATATTACCAAACTTGGCCCGGCCCCAGTCAAATATCAACCCATTTTTAACAACATCAACTCTTTTACAAGTTGTATGTTGTTAAAAATATTATCATAGTGTATTACTGTACATTGTGAGCCTTCATAATTGCATAAATATATAGAAAGAACAGCATATTTTGTTTATTTAGTTTTACATTACCAAAAAAGAAAAGGATTCTATGTACTTTAAATCTTTCTTTTTTTCCTAATATTGTGTTTTTCTTTATCTCCCAAAGCTTTACTCTTTTTTTGTTTAAATAAAATGATAGTACAACCATATAATGATGAACTTTGATGAACAAGGCTATAGCACAGAAAAATAAGTTAAGCAAATTGGCATATATGTGTACCATTAAAAAAATTAAATAAAAAATGAACTGATTTTAGGCACGAATCAAGAAGATTATGCAAACAGATGAAGAAATAGGAAAAGTTGCAGCGGCTGTTCCAGTTATTATTTGTATCTTTTTTGTTTTACTTACAATGGTTCTCACTTATAAAATTATTTAGTATTAATTTGATAATTTTTGGTTTTAAAATACATTTTTAATTAAAAAAAACTATTGATCAAATGGTTTTGGTATTTGTAAATGTTTCTTTAACCTGGATTCAAAGCACGATCTCTAGAAATTTTTCTACAGTCTTTAGTGGAAACTACAGCCAAATATACAAATGATAGAAAAGCTAAAACCATGACAACCTCTCATTTGTGAGTTTAATTTACACATATTTAATAATCTTTCCATAATATTTATGTGTGATTCTCATTTACATGTTTTATTGAGTGTCTTATTTTGAGTGTTATTTTTTTAATATAATTTTATAAATACAAGTATTTTTATTTTAGTATTTCTTTTACATCATGTTTGAATTTGATTTATTTTTGTTATTATCTTTTTAATTTATTTTTTTATTCTCCCTTAAATTTATTTTTGTTAAATATCTCCTAAATTAGATTGATGGCAATTAGCCTGCTATTCATTAATAAATCAATAAAATACTGATGGCAAGAATTAGTGTTGCATCTACAGTTGTAATAGTCCAAGATTTAAATTGCTTTTTAGCTTTTTTCATTTTTGAAGATTGTATAATTTTTTTTTCTGATAGCAACCAATAAAATCCACCGCTAATAAGAAAGAATTTTGATTTAAAAAAAGTTATAGCTTAAAATAATTAAGTAGTATATCACTTTATATGATTTTCCTCCAAACTTATCTCAGTATAGCTTGTTTCTAATCTTCTATTGGCTTGTTTTTACCTGTTCAATATTTTTTTGGCTTACATTCTTATGTTATATTGTACATTTGCTAATATGAACTAAGTTTTTTCAATTATTTGTAATCAACTTTGTTAAATAATAAAATGATTTTTTAATTTTGTTTTATGTTAAAAGTTTGCTTTCAACAGGCGGTAGTATTATGTTAAGTTTATGCTTAGTTGCTTTGGATGACTAAAACATTAAGTTATCTGCTATGATTATCTATAGTCTAATACTGCTTTACTTTTTGTTTGCAATTTTTTACATTTTTAACAAACTATTAGTTTTTATAAATCAATAATCAATTCATAAATGAAGAGCGTTTTCCAAAAGGTTAAACTCACATTTTTATTGTTTGAGAAAAACAAAAAAAATTATCTGGCGAAAATTTTTTGAAAATCAATAATTTTATAATCCTAAATAAAAATGATGAACAACTTTTTTATTGATTGTTAGATTGATACGTTTTTCAATAAAAAATTTAAATGTTGAAAAACGCAATTTTTGAAAAAAATGGACTTAGCGCCATTTAGAAAAATGCTCTTCAATTGTGTTTATGCAGAATAAAATAAAAATTGTCATTAGTACAACAAAATCTGTTGTAAAAGAAAAAGCATTTTGTTATTCTAATTTTTCAAAATGTTTTTTTAAAACTTAAAGTACATGTTTACTTAAAATAGAAATCTCTTTTAATAAATCATTTAAAAATTTAATTAAATTTAAATAAAAAAAAAATTATTTATTATTAAACGTTAAATTATTAAATTAATTATTAAAAATTATTATTATTAAACATTATTAAACGTTATAATATAATAACTAAGTAATGATTGATTGAATTCAATCAATCACTCATTCAATTAATTTAATATTTTCCTTGATTTTTATTTTTACATTATGAACAGTGAATAACAGGAGTTTGATTTATCTGTTGATAATCTTTTCAGATGAAAGTTTCATGGTTTGCAGTCTCCAATATCATAAGTTTTCAAAAATCAAAATCAAAACTCATAAGTTTTTCATATAGGCAAATATTTAGTTTGTTTTGCAAAAAATATTAATTAGAGACCTGATATTGTTTTTTTTTTTTTAAAAAAAAAAAAATCAAAACATGGTTAGTTCCTTTGAAATTATGTTTTCTAGATAATTTTTAATTTTGTGTGTGGATGACCTTGTAAGTCATCTACACGCACTTTTAGAATGCTCTTATACACAAAAGACATTTGGTAGAGTTAAATATTTAACGGACATATTTGTTTTATAAATAAGTTTCAATTGTTATCAAGTTAAGTTTAAAAAAATATATTAACTAAGAGTTTTTAGAAAATATTGACTGTAATGAATAATTCATTTTTTATTTACAATGATTTTTTTTTTTTTTTTTTTATTTTTTTTTATTAGAGTTTTAATATCAAGAAAATATTTGTTAATAATTATTTATGTTTGTATAGCTTTTTTTGTGTTTGTCATTTTGTTAATATGAAAATATGTTTATTAGGGTGTACATCGTATTACAGCATACATTGTATTAGGGTGTACATTGTATTAGGTTGAAATATAGTTAATAATTATTATCTTAATTTCTGAATAAACTTAGCTGAAAGTTGTTTAAGTTAATATGATGATTTTATCAAAATGGCTGACATTGCTGGCTATTTTTAATATAAAACTAGTTAGAGAATATAGATACATATTTATATTTTTAAGAGTATGGTATTTTCCTTATTTTATATAGGTTATTTAACAAAGCCATTCTATTTTAGGACAATTTATTTTCTTTTCTAGTTTTTCGTGCACTAATTTGTATAAGTTTTTCGTGCACTAATTTGTATAAAAGATTTACAAAACCAATTTAATAAAAGATTATTAATCCAATCAATATTTTAATGAAATTGATTATTTTCAATATGTTTTCTCTACAATCAATTACAATCAATTGATGATTTTTTATTTATTACAATTAATTCAATTTATTACAATCAATTGGTCTTCATCTCAAGATCAATTGATCCTTCATCTCAAGACTGCATTCTTCTTGATGTTATTTCTGATTATATTGACCAAGCCCTCATTCTTTATCCATCAGCCAATATTGTTGTTGTCTGTAACTTTAATGTTCATCACACTGAATGGCTTGGCTCTAGTGTCAGTGACTCCGCAGGCATCAAGGCCCACAACTTTTGCCTTTTTCAATCCCTAACTCAAATAGTCAACTTTCCAACTCGCTTTTCAGACAACCCGAATCATTTACCTTCTCTACTCGACTTATGTCTTGTTTCTAATCCTAGTCAGTGCTCAGTTTCTCCACACTCACCCTTAGGTGCTTCTGATCATGGTTTGGTCTCTCTTAAACTATTATCTCATTCTTCTTTACCATCAAAATCCCCCTATCATTGTACATCTTACAACTGCCTTAAAGCTGACTGAAACTCTTTCCGTGATTTTCTTCGTGATGGTCCCTGGGTAGAAATCTTTTGTCTTCCTGTTGTCAAATGTGCTTCTTACATAACTTTGTGGGTTCAGGCTGGCATTGAATCCTTTATTTCCTCTCGACGATTCCAGGTCAAGCCTCACTCTTCTCCATGGTTTTCCTCACATTGTGCTGCTTCAATTGCCAATCGAAACCATTACTTCCATATCTATCAGCAAAACAATTCTCCAGAAAACAGATGTCTTTTTATTACTGCTAGGAACCATAGTAAAAAGGTTTTGTCTAACGCCAAAGCCCACTATTCTCAGATCATGAAATCTCGTATTTCATCACAAAAATTAGGCTCTCGTGACATCTGGAAAATCTTTAATAGTATCAATAATAAGGGCAAGTCTGTAATTCCACCTCTTTTGTATGGTTCAGACTTTGTCACCTCATCTAAAGACAAAGCTGAATTAATTGCCAAGAACTTTAATCAATATCATCTCTTGATTCCACTAGTTGCATTCTACCTGATATAGCCGTCAAACAGATTGATTTACTGCTTGACATCCGTATCACTCCAGCTTCTGTATCTAAAGTGATTTCTATAGCTTGCGGCCTGGACAACATACCCATTTTAGTCTTGCAGAAGTGTTCTCCGGAGCTGTCATCTATCCTTTCAAAACTATTTAACAAGTGCTTATCAGAGTCTTGTTTTACACCCTGCTGGAAAACAGCATCTGTTATCGCTATTTTTAAAAATTCTGGAGAGCCATCTGATTCGTCTAACTACCGTCCCATTAGTCTTTTTCCTATCATAAGCAAGGCTTTTGAATCTTTAATTAACAAACACTTAATCTCTCATCTGGAATCTCATAACCTACTTTCTGATCATCAATATGGATTTCAATCCTCTCGTTCTACGGCTGATTTGCGATCAGTAATAACCGATACGTTTTATTGCGCATTAGATAAAGGTGGAGAGGTTAAGGCCATCGCTCTTGACATTTCTAAAGCGTTTGATGAAGTTTGGCATGCTGGTCTTCTCCATAAGCTTTCTTCTTACGGTGTATCTAGAAACATCTTTAAGATTATTTAATCCTTCCTTTCCAATGGTAGTACAAAAATTGTCCTTGATGGACAGCACTCTTCTTCTTATTCTGTAACCTTAGGGGTTCCTCAAGGTTCAATCCTTGGCCCTATACTCTTTTTAATTTACATTAATGATCTTCCAGATATTCTCACATCTAAGGTGGCATTGTTCGCTGATAATACTACCATTTATTCTTGTCACGATAAGAAGCCAACTCCCTCTGATTGCTTGCAGGGGGCATCTGAGCTTGAAAAGGATCTCACTTCTGGTACAGCATGGGGCTTACAGTCGCTGGTGAACTTTAATTCAGATAAAACTCAATTTTTTTCAGCCAATCGTTATCGCAATAATATAGACCTTTTTATATTTATGATCGGTAATGTACTCGATAAGTCTCCTACCCTTCATCTTCTAGGATTAACTCTTATTTCTGATCTTTCTTGGAAACCTTATATCAAACCCGTTGCAAAATTAGCATCTGCTAAAGTTGCTTCTCTTTATCGAGCTCGTCATTTTCTTACTCTGGATTCTATTCTCTATCTCTATAAATCTCAAATCCGGCCTTGTATGGAATACTGTTGCCATATTTGGAGTGGATCTTCTAATGATGCCCTTTCTCTTTTAGACAAGGTGCAAAAACGCATTGTAAACATAGTTGGACCTGCTCTTGCAGCCAACCTTCAACCTCTGTCACACTGTCGTAATGTTGCTTCTCTTTCTCTTTTCTACAAATACTATAATGGGCACTGCTCTAAAGAGCTAGCGTCTCTTGTGCCATCTACTAAAATTCATTCTCATGTTACTCGTCATTCAATTAAGTCTCATCCTTTTTCTGTTACTGTTCCTAAGTGCTCCAAAAACTCTTATTCGTCTAGTTTTTTTCCTCGAACATCAGTTCTTTGGAATTCGCTTCCTTCATCTTGCTTTCCTGATTTATATAATTTG